CCCATTTTACAGAAGTGTAAACAGAATCAGAGAGACAGTGAGTTATTTAGCCAGTGTCAGAAATAGGACTGAAACTGAGGCCTTCCCTTAATTATTCTTCATTATTTTTACTATACCAACTAAGCTCAGTTTCAGTGTAATAGCAGCCCTGATCTCAGCCTTTGCCCTTGGAGGTGCCCCATCCTTGACTTAGGGAAAATACAGTCTTGCTCCTCAGTCCTTGGTTCTCTCTTGGCCTGGCAGACATCTATCCTGTGAAGAAGAAGCTTTTGGCTCAGAATCCAGCATGGATAAAAACCCTCTAGCTGCTCCAGGTGATGGGGTTGGCTGGACCTTCGTCCTTGCAACCTGTGGGAAGCCTATCTATCCCTTTGGTCTGTTGCTCACCTATTTTCTGGGCTATTATTTGGTGGAGGAGGCTCCCCACACACAGGGGTGAGACCTCCTCCAAGGTCCATGTGAGAATGACATTTGACATCTTGCCCTACCTCTTGCCCCTCCCACCCCCCCCCCACTCCCAAACTGACATGTTCAAATAATGCTTTGAATATTTTGAATAGGCTAGGAAAATGCAACTACTTTCTTAATGCCGCTTATGCCTTATCCCAAAACAGGGGATATAGGACATTTTATTCCAATATCCCCTGTTTGGGGTGGGGTTTCGGCTCATCATAGAGCCTTTTTTGGCCACCCATCCTTTTCCCTTCACGTGATCAATATTAAGTTATTTTGTTTTATGATTTAATAAAAGGCTGTGTGAGGGGCAAAAGAAAAAAGAGATCACTGATAACTATGGATAGAGCAGTTTCAAATGATGGGGCCAGAAGCCAGACTTTGAGGTACTGACTAGTGACCCATGGTGAAGAGATGGAGGCAATGTGTGTAAACAGCCCTTTGCAGGAGTTTGCCTATTTCTATTGGGCTGGAACTGGGTAACACATTTTACATAACCACAACTTCAAATAGTATGAGTCTGAATACATGTGACCACTTTAGAGGACTGCTTATTTGCACTAATTGGGACCTCCACATTTAAGTTAGTTCAAAGGACTAGGATAGTAGGGTTAAGTAAAGTTTTAAGGATGGGGTGGGAGATGGAGAACCTAGTCATGGTTATAGGAGGTGAAGAAGTCAAGTAGATAAGAAAGACTAAAGACAAGAAAAAAAAGAACAACCAAAAAGGAAAATTCTTGGAAAGGCAATGGGGTAGAATCAAGATCACAAGTGGTAGGGAAAACCCACTTCTTCAGACCCAGGATGAGCATTAAGCATTTATGTGCTTATATAATACGCACTGTGGTAAGCACTGGGAAAACAAATACAAAATTGGGACAATCCCTGCCCTCCTTGAGCTTACATTCTGATGGGGAAGACAACACATAGGGGAGTTTCAGTCAGGGGAGTCATAGGGATATTGACTAATAGGTTTCCAAAGTGGGCAATACCACCCCTTGGCGGCTCTGGAACGATCCAGGGGGGTAGTAGCAGCTTCTGGTGCAATTAGGGGATGTTGAATAAAAATAAAGGGGCAGTGGGAACATAAGGAAAGAAGATAAGATTTTGAAAACCTGTTCATACATATTTCATGTGTAGTGTAACAGAATTAAAGTTGCAGTGATTACATTATTTTCCAAATAAACACACAAAATGCAGGTTATAATCAATCAGGGGTCAAGTCTGACAACAAGTCTTAACAAGCAAGTGTTGGCATGTGAGCTTGTCGAACAATGTCAGGAAGTCCAGCATTCATCAATAAGAATATATAATGACTTGTGTCATCAAAATTTCAATGCAGGAAAAAACCTACAAATTTATAATTATCAAATTTAAGATGCATCATTTTTTTAAAAAATATTTTATATTTTTTTGAAATGATGCAAATTTCAAAAAATGATTAAAGGGTTAAAGTAAGTAGATTTCCAGGTGGGCACTGAGTAATTTTTTTTTTTTTTTTTGAAGAGGGAGGTAGGCCAAATTAGTTTGGGAACCTCTGCATTTAGACAGTCAACAGAAGTGATTAGGATTTTAAATCCTAAAGCAAGCCTTGACTGTGGCAGAGGGGTTAAGTATACAAAAACTGATGACAAATTGACCTTGTTTTAAAGTTAGAAGCATGCTCACTATATAATTTTGTACTCACTGACTCACTAATAACTGGCCTCAGTGTGGGAGTTCCAAAGCAGAGTGGATTAAGTCCCCTCAGAATACATAGCCTATGGAAGAGACTGGAATGAAGATGAAAGTGTGGGATGAACAGGGGGTTTGAGGCCTGAAATGAGAGAGATGAGGGCAATAACCTCTATTTTCCTAGTAAAGGAGGCAAGGTCCTTTGCTGAGGGAAGGATAGGAAATCGAGGAAGCCACAGATTTCACATCTGAACTGCTCAAAGAAGGGAAGAATACACATGCACACATAGTTGGGTATAGAAAAACATTTCACTCAACAGGGAAATAGGCAGAAAAGGGGAGAAGGGAGAATTAGGAGAAGGGATTATTTCTAAGCAAAACAAACTTTCAAGTTGTACAAAAATATTTATGGCTATTTCTTTTTTTCGCTTTTTGGTGAGGCGATCAGGGTTAAGTGACTTGCCCAGGGTCACACAGCTAGCAAGTGTCAAGTGTCTGAGGCCACATTTGAACTCAGCTCCTCCTGACTCCAAGGCCAGAGCTCTATCCACTATGCCACCTAGCTGCCCCTTATTTATGGCTTTTTCGCGGTAACAAATGGCAATCTGAGGGAGGATAAACAGGGGGAATGGTTGAACAAGTTATGGTATATAAATATCGTAGAATACTATTGTGCTATAAGAAATGATCAAAGGGATAGTTTCTGAGAAATCTAGGAAAACTTTATATGAACTGATAGAGAATGAAGTCAACAGAACCAGAACAATTTATATAATGACAATAGTAAAGACAAACAATTCTGAAAGAATTAAGAACTCTGACCACAATTCCAGAAAAATAATGACACTGCCTATCGCCAGATAGAGGTAAAGAGCTCAGAAGGTGGAGACACGTTTTTTTTGGACATGGCCAATGCAGAAATTTGTTTTGCTTGATTATATATAACTAAGTTTTTGTTTTTCTTTCCTCTGATTTCTCAATTAGAAGAAAAAAACATACACATATATATGTATGTATATATGTATATACATACAGATATATACATATACATGTGAGCCCAGTAATTAGATAACTTTTAGTGAATATAGTTAGGTAACGGATCAACTAACATGAGGTTGTGAAGAGGATGAAGACTAAATTTAGGAAAGGCGAAGCACAAGGAGAGATGGAAGGATAGATTATAGTCAAGCAGAGGAACTTCACAATTCTGGATAATGGAGATGGGACAATTACAGATGATGGTGAGATCAGGGGTGTGATTATCCCTGTGCTGGACTGAGTTAAAGGAAAGACTTTAGGAAGGCTATAAACTTCGCATCAGAGGGAACATTAATGTATATGTTTAATTAAAAAATACAAAAGCAGAGGTTGCAGTGAAAAGAGAGACTATAAAAGCCTGCAACTGAACTTGAGAAAGCAGGGAGAATGACTTACAGGTTAGCAGATGGCTGCAACAAGGAGCTGGGTGATAACCACGGATGGAATGAATCTCCAAGGACAGGCTGCTGAGTGATGGTGGCAAAGGAATGGTCTGGAAGTGGCAGTGAGGAATGAAGTACATGCCTTCTCCTCCTACCAGTCCCGTGTTTCCAGCAAATGAGTGGAGTACCTGCTGCAGAGGGTGGCCAAGGACGAGATCCAGGCTCCTGAAAGCCCAAAGTGAAGAGTACTAGAATTAAGAGAAGTATGTTAACAATTCCAAGATTTCCAGAGGGAGAAATAAGAGGGCAGAAGATGCTCTATGGAGGGGCACAGCAAGCATAAATAGTGATGGTAACGTGGGGAAAGATAGGAGGAGAAGAGTATATTTCTTAAACAGGTGTTAACTCTAAAGTATATAATATTCTAAGAGGAATGGGAACTGAGAATTTTGTGTGGAATCAGCTAGGAACCTCACCTTTAGGGTCATTTATGACAAAATATGCAGTAGGTTCTAGACCTCACTGATTCACGGAATGCCAGGATCTCATAATTCTGAGATCCCCAAGCTGAAGAACAAAGTGGTTATCCAGGCCATGAGGGTTATGTTTAACCCAGTGTCAAAAGCTGTTCAAGACCCTCTTCCACATGATACATCCTATCTTATAAATTAATGCCTCCCAAGTAATTAAGACCTTCAAAAATGGCCTGCATCCATCACCTCTGTATGTCTTGTGACAGGAATTAATACTTATGAGCCACTTTCCCTCCCGAGACCTGAGTCACGTGAATAATTCACATTTCTATAATACTTAAAGGTTTTTAAGAACTACCTCTCAATGAGCCAATGAGGTTTGTCAAAGAGCTGTGATTTCTTGATGTGAGAACTGATTCTCCCCTATCTGTATATTTAAAAAGTTACCTGAAGCTTGAGTTCTCAGTTACTTGAGAAGTGAGGTAAAATGTCCATGCTCAGAGAACTACTGTCAGGGGCTGGATTTGATCCCAAGTCTTTCTGGATCCAAGTCCAGCATTATTCAACTCCACTGTCTCCCTAGGTATTATTATTCCATTGTAATAGCTAAGGAACCTGAGGCTCAGAGACATTAATTAATTTTCCCATATTCACTCAATTGTCAGAGTTAAGATAAGAACCCAGGCCTTTTCTATTACACCAAATGATTCTTTCAAATTAGACACTGGTCTCAATCTCTAAAATTCTTTCTGCTCTAAGATCCAATGATAACCTAATCCATACAAAAAGGAGCGGTATGCCTTTTGCATCAACATGTCAGTGCTATAGTGTGAGTGACTTGCTATTTACATTTCAGGTCTGGTTAGTCCTAAGGATAACAGTTGTTGATTAGGAGGTAAATTCTTTCAAATTTATTACTAAGGCTCCTCCTTGTTTCTCTCCAAGAGACACAGCTCTATCCATAAAGCAAATGAACAGGTTATTAAAAAAAAACAATCAAACAACTTTTATTAATATTGCGAAGACGACCGGTAGAGTGACAATCTCTGTGTATAGCAGCAACATCCAGAAACTACCTTTTCTCCCTTCTTTCCTGAGCAGTTCCCTTGCTAGATCCTGACTAGATCTATTCTGGAGAAGGGGAGTCTCGGCCTCAGAATGGGCAGGAACTGACCTACGTAAGAGATCCCTCAACATGAACACAACTTTGTTTGAACACATTCAACCTTTGGGACAAGAAGGATGCCAAGAAAAAGGAATAGGTCATTTAGGCCCTTTCCTAATCCTGAGGGCCAGCCCAGTTAAGACACACCAGTGGTACTGACTAGCTGAGGACAAAAGTGTGGTCTCATCTCTCAATTCATTAGCCCTGCTTGGGATAAGATGGGGATGAACAAAACAAAACGAGAAAGGAGGGGTTTGGTGTGTGCTAGTCCCACTCCTGTTCTGCTTTCTTTGGCTTTATTAGGAGCCTCAGTCTAGGAGTAGTGTGGTCCCAGAATGAGGGAGCCTCTCAGCTTCCTCCTGCTTCACCCAGAGAAAAGGGAGATGCCCTACATCGCTGTAGTCTCCCAGCTGCTGGTCAATCTCTGTCAGCTCACAAGGCTCAGCCCATATGTCCACAATCTTTCCCAAAGTGGAACAGCGTTCCTCCAGCTCTGCCCCTTCACTCTGCATCAGCAGATTGGCCAGCTCCCTGCTGAGGCTCTGGATCACCTCCCCTCTCCCCTCTTCCCAAGCCTGGTTAATGTTCAGGTCTTTGATAGGATCCCGCAGCTCCCCCAGGGGCCCAAGGAGGTGCTGGTACCTCTTCTGCCACCGCCTGCACACCATGGCCTCCCCTACAGGCTCCTTGTTGGTGTGGAGCACAGCGAGGATGTGGCGGCACGGTAAGTGATAGCGCTGCTGGAAGGAGCAGCTGCAAGTGCAATTGTCCTTGCTAACCTGGTGAGAGTCTTCCAGCAACTGGACCTCTGCTGCACAGCCAGCTGCTTCTACCAGCTGGGTAGAATTCTGCACAACCTCCCACTCATTATGGCAGAGCTGGTAGGCAAGCTCAGAGCTGTTCTTGTGCAAAGCCTCGAGCATGTCACCCCAAAAGGCCTGCTGCACTTGTGGCTTTTGTTGTGGCTGCTGAGGATAGAGGCAGGTGGCTTTATTAGGAAGCTTGGATGTTTTAGACAGGTTCGATACGTAACTATCTGTGCCTCCCTTGGGTCTCAAAGGAATATAACCCTTTGGCTTAGCCCGCCCCCCACTAGGGAGAGGTTGGGGCGGGTTCTTCGGTCGTTTGGTGTTGAAAAAGTCAACATAATCCACAAAACGCAAAATGCAGCCCACCAGGGACTGCTGTTCCCTGAAGAGACTAGATACTTTACTTGTAACCAGGTCAAGGCTATCCATGTAGGTACTACAGGCATGAAGACCCTTCCTGGCATGCATATACCAAAGCAGCTCACAAGAGAACCAGTGGACCTGCAGGTACCCATAGAGGTCCTTGTCTAGGAGGGTCTCTGCCATCCTAGAGAGTTTCTGTAGGCCAGGGCCTGAGGCCACAAATACTGCTTCCCGCAAAGCCTCCTTCATCAGGTGCTTGAAGGGCTGACTGGCCCGGCTCCTCTGCAGCTTCTTCTCCAGGAGGCGAGTTGTGTGGTAGATGGAGAGGAGCACACGAGCTAACGGGAACAGCTCCTGCACCACATCGCGGTGCTGGAAGGATGGTTCCACAAAGATGACCCGGACTTTGGACCAGTCAGAATTGAACTCAGTGAAGACACTCAGCATCTTGGCGACAGAGGAAGATGTCTCTTCTCTGAGCACCGCAAAGTGTACCACCCGTCCTTCCCGCTCCTTGCTTTCTACCAGGAAGGCATAAAGCACATGACCATGTGCATTTTCAACCCGGTGGAGCAGGAGGTTCTCTGGGAAACGAACAAAAAGGTCCTGCATCTTGCTGCTCTGGAAGCTGAATCGGTCAAGGTCTTGGTTGCTGCCCACACTGAGAGATGCCATGGATCCCATGTCTGCCTTAAGGAAATTCTTCATCACTTCTGCCACATAAGCCAGGTCCAAAGAGGTGATGCCCTCTTGCCTCAGTTCAGGAAGTACAGGGCCATCATGGGGGAAAGAGGAGGGCTCAGCTATGGATTTCTTTGCCATCCCAGTGTCCTTAGAGGTGGTCTTCCCATGCTGGGGTTCCACCCACCACAGTTTTGACTGAAATTTGCCAGAGGGATCCGCCTGGGAGTTCCTACACAGTTCTGAGGCTTTCCGTCCAGGAGAAGAGCCAGCTCGTGGGACAGCAGCAGTTTTGGTTTCAACATGGATGTGCTGGGTGTTCAGTTCACTGATAAACAGTCTGTCTAATTCCTCATCATACTGCAGGACTAAGTATGCTGGGCACATGCTGGGCTCTGCCTTCTGCTTTCTGTATGACTGGGCTCGGGTACAAACAAATTTCACCTGCATATACCTGAGGAAGAGAGAAGAGACAACAATAAAGATGCATAAGTCTAAGAACCCAGTATGTAACATCCTAGGGAATCCCAAGAGTAAAGTAAAAAAACTGAAGAAGGACCTTCAAGCAATATGAAAGTAAAGAGAGGGCATAGCTCAAGTGTAGGGTCAGTGCAAGAAAGTATAAACAAATGGTCCTAATTCACAGTTATGGTACAGAAGGCTAAGAGCTAGAAGTGACCTTGGAGATAAGCTAATCTAAGCTTTCCCACTCCCCTCAAAAACAAACCTGAGGAACAGAGAAGTAAAGTCCAATGCTCTTACCATTAGCACGACTATCACAGAAACAATTCTAGACACTTAGAGCAGGAAGGACTTCAGAGGTCATCTAGGTCACCTCCTACGCAAAGACTGAAATCTCTTTGACATCATCGCTGCCAGATAGTTATATAGTTCATAGACCCCTGGTAACAAGGAATCACTTCCTTCTGAGGCAGACTTCTATTTTAGCACAGCTCTAATTGAAAGGAAGGTTTTCTTTTCTATGAAGCTGAAATCTCTCTCCCTGTAACTCCCGCTCACTGATTCTGGTTCTGTCTTCTAAAACCAGGCCAAGTATGTCGAATTTCTGATTCATTTCCCTCAAATCGCTTCCAAAGATGCCAAACCAGTTTTGAGTCACAGCTCTGATAACTATAAGCTCTGTGACTGTGGATCTAAGTCACTTCTTCATCTATAAATTTCAGTGGATTTTAATTATTTCTTTTGATAGTACAGATCCCAGCCCATACATGCCTTCTTATGCTATATGTGCATCTTCTCCTTGTCCTCCCATAAGTTTTCCACAGAGTCCACCCGGCCTAGTGCGGGCCTACCCCTAGTTCTCTTGACATTGTATAGAATGCAAAAATTCTAAGCCTCCTACTTTCTATGGTATCCTTTTATTCACTCTCTGCTAATCTGTGGCTACTGAAGACGTGGTCACAGGACCCAAAGCACGGGAGCCTGGCATCAAGAAACACGTGTCAGGGAGGGTACTATGATCAAAACTACTCATTGTTTGCCTATTTCTCTCACTCTTTTCCCTTTGGAGTCACCACTTTCTCTTTATAAACATGGAAGAGGATTTTATAAGAAGGAATAGCTACCTGGAGTCCCAGTCTTCATTATAGAAATCCCCTTCCCCACCTATCTGGATCTTACCTATTTAGTTATTTCAAGTACCATGCTCCTAGAAAACAAATGCCCTTGCCACAACAGTTATCTCCCTTTTTGTGAACTGAGGGTACTTGTTATAACTTAATCACACACTGTCTTGTGATCTTGCATAATTGTTTGATTCTTTGACTTTTCATGTGTTTTTTTTTTCATAAAGAGAACTAAATCCAAACTCTTTAGCCTGATATTCAATGTCTACTACATGGTAACCTCTACATTTTCCACCTTCTCTTACTATATCCCTTCACTTATGTTATCCTAGCTAACCTGCAATACAGTCAATCCTCAACTTTCACAGGAGTAACATTGCTGGAAAAGTAAAAACTTGCAAAAGTAAAAAACTTGAATGCTGATATACTGAATTTCTGGGGAAAAGGGGGGTTAGGTTCTGGCAACTGCCAAAAACTGTCATCTTCCTTTTTTTACTTTTTTTTTGGGGGGGGGACTAGGCAATAGGGTTAAGTGACCTGCCCAGGGTCACACAGTTAGTAAGTGTTATGTGTCTGAGGCCGCATCTGAACTCAGGTCCTCCTGAATCCAGGGCCAGTGCTTTATCCACTGCACCACCTAGCTGCCCTTTTTAAAATTAATTTAACTTAATTAATTTAATCAAAAAACAAACAAAACAAAAAAAAACAACCTGTAATCTCTCACTAGAGATTTCTGAAAATACACTTTTCTGCATATAACTCTTTATAACAAAACATATATTTTGATAATATGTACTTTTCCTAACACAGTAACCCATAAAATGCAATACATAAAATAAAATTGGTAACATGCAAAACATTTTTTCTTGCTAGTAGTTCCCTAGAATCTTGTGATGTTTTGTGCTAACATCTCATTAAAAAAAACACACACACACACACAAAACCCCCAAAAAAACCCAAACTACTGATTTCAGACAATATTCACATTTTTTTTTTGTAAGGTAATCTGAGTTAAGTAACTTGCCCAGGATCACACTGCTAGAATATTCACTTTTTATAACACATGAAATCTTTAGTACCATAAATACTTTCTTCCTTTTTATGGATATAATAAATCACTGATTCATTAACATCAAACTCAAGGCTGATAACAGTTGCAGACATTCTGGCAAGAAGTTTATCAAACACCTTCATTTCCTCATTAAGTAGTGTGATTGACTTTGCACTGACTTAGGCTTAGTGCCCAAAGGACTTGCGCTACTTTTTGGGGGCATAACTGAAACATAAAACTTGAGTTTTCAAGGCAAACAATAAAAACACCCAATGAATCTGAGGAACTATCTTTAGAACGGTAGGGTGAAGGAGACCAGTGAAGTGCGTAGTAAAATGCCAGCTGCTCCACAAACTTTCATCCATTGTGCCTCTCACATAGGCTGAATGTCCAAGGTAACTAACGACAAAAGTGAAAATGAAGTTACAAATAAAATCACACAAATGCTTGAAGCTGCAAAAGTTAAGCCCTTCAATGCTGAGGACTAACTGTACTTGTCACCCTTCATGATATCCAGCACTTTTCCACCTTCATGCCTCTGCCTGTACTGTTTTCTGTGCCTAAAGCACTCTCTTCCCATTTCTGTTGAAATGTTACCCATCTTTCAAGTTCCAGTTCCAACACTTACTCTTCTAGGAAGCTTTTCTTGAACATTCCAGTAAGAAATCTTTTTTCTTTTAAATTTACACAGCACTTTCTCCCTGTCTAATGCTTATTAAAGACTATACTATATTTACTTAGTGCATATTTATTTTATTGTACTGTGTATTATCCTCCCTGTTAGACCAAACACATCACGAGCACATAGACTATGTCTTAATCATCCTTGTGTTTTCTGTGGCAGCTAACAAAGGGGTACATTACAGGCATTCAATAAATGCTTGCTGAACTAATACTCTATTTCTTTTCAAAGGTTTCAAGAAGCAGTTTTCATAGGCATTGATGACTACCATTTACCATTTACTAATCACTGCACAACCATATATCTGAACTCAGGCTTTAAAAACTAAAATACATTTCTTTTGTACTTTCCCTTAAAAAAGCAAAAAACAAAAACAAAAACAAAAAACAAGAAATCCCACCCCAACCTATTCTCCCCTCTCAAGGAGTTCACAGTCTAATGGGGGAGACAATATGCAAACAACTATGTACACAAAAGATACAGGGTAAATTAGCTGTAATTTCAGACAGAAGACTAGCATTAGCGCTGAGGGAGACAAGGCCTGTTGTAGTAGGTGGGATTTGAGCTAAGTTTTAAAAGAAGCCAGGGAAGCCAGGAAGAAATGACAAGGAAGGACATTCCAGGAATAGAAGACAGCCATGTGAAAAGCACAGGATCAGAATGAGAATTGTTCTATTTGGCCCTAAGTGGCAGAACTAAAACAATAAGGATCAATTGCAAAGAGGCAGAGTTCAACAATTTAGTTGGATGGACAAAGCTTATCCATCAGTGTATTTATGAATACACACATGTACACACATAAGGGACATATCATCTAACTTGGAATGAAGTCTGAAAGATCTGAGTTCAAATCCCATCTCAGCCATTTACTAGGTATGTGGCCTAGGTAATGCTTATTCACTTGTAAAAGGGATTGGGCGTGAAGAAAGGCCTCTAACATCCTTGACACCACTAAATCTATGATCCTATACCTTGGAGAGACATCAGAAATGGACCTTAAATTGGGCCCAGAATTGAAAACAGAAAAGTAGGCTAGATTACTTTGGGGAAACTGGAAAGTTCTCCTAATGACCCCTGAAACAAATGCCTATCTTTTTAATTCCAATATTTTTCTAGTATTGTTGTATGGGCTTCCAGTCATTGAACCCTGCAATCTCTAAAGAATGCAAATGAGGATCACCCAGAAGGCAACAGAAAGGTTACTGGTAAGGATGGGTAAGCAGCAATACATCACGGACATGGGATTAAAAGGAGGGGCAAAGTCAAGAATGTTATAAAAGCAACATAAGATTCAAAAAGAAAAGACTAGTCACATGGCAATGGCAAAGAATAACCAATAGACCACTGGTATTCTTGTGATGTCAAGAGAAAGTAAGAAAGGTCCCCACCATATTAGATGGACCCCTGTAGTGAACTCCTGAGAGAGTAAGAGATCCATCTGGGTTTATTGCAAGGAAAACCTTCCTAACCATTTGAGCTGTCAAAGAGTAGGAAGGGGTACCTTAGCAAGTAGTCAATCCTTCCTCATTTGAAACCTTCAGGTGGAGGTCAGATGATTACTTGAGGTAGAGAGGGCTCCTGTTTGGGTACAGGTTAAACAAGAACTGAGCTTCCCTGCAACTCTACGAATCAGACTAATTGGCGGGTGGAACTGGCCACACTCCCTTCCTGGGAGTATTATTACTGCACAAACTCAGCTGCTTACAATGACGGCCAAGATATTTTACCCTCCCATTTGCAGAAGACACTCAACAAAGCAGGGTTTGAGCTTAGCTGGTCTTGCTACTCTGTAAACAAAACTATCAGGATGTGCCTAGATTGGCATCACTAGGGTGGAGGGAGCAAGAGCAGAACGATGCCCGCATCTCCTACAGGTATAGCGTACAGACGGCTACACAGTTGATGAGGCTATAAAAAAGCCTACATCGTTTTAGTAAAGCCAGGAATCAATGCTCAAATTACTGATCAAACTTGCCACAAAAAGGCTCTTTCCAAGATCTCTTTTTGTCAAGGACACCGCCGTTCTCTTTGACTTAGACTAAAAACCTTGGAGTTGTTTGCTACTAACAAACCACGTGACCTTGTTAGACAAGACAGATACTGCCTGGTGATTTTTTTTTAATGTCTAAGAAGTGCTAAGTCTCTTCCCCGCTTTGGGCCTCAGTTTTCTTCTTTTTAAACTGATGGAGTTGAGATAGATGACCATTAAAGCCCCTTCCAGCTCTAGCAGTCTATGTATGATGTTTCTAACCAGCTCTAATATTCTACAATATTCAATTCCTTTTCCTCCTTTCACCTCCTACAGTCAGTCAGCCTGTCATCACATTCTAAAGATTCTTCCTATAACTCCCGCCCACACCAGATTTGCCCCTTTTCCATTCCCAATGCACAGTATGATATAATGGGGAAAAATGATATGGTCAGGCACTGGTCTTGAATCCAACTTTGTTATTAGCTTGGGAAAATAGAGGAGGGGAGGGTGAGGGTTCCTGCAATCCTAAATACTACAGTCCTAACCTAGAACCTTTTTAACCTCATGGTTAATTTACAATAGAGGCCTCATAACTAGTCTCCCACTCTTTTATCACTCATTGGATCCTTAGGTAACACTACTAATTTATGTTACTTCTTTTCAGTATCCTATATTAATATTATTGTCTCAACTGGATTGAGTTTCCCTAAGGTTATGGACAATGTTTTAAGATATAGTGCAAAGGATACTGGACTCAAAGTCAAGAAGGCTGGGTTCAAGTCTTGGCTCTCTGACTTACTAGCTTTAAAACCTGAATGAGTCAATCTCTTTCTCTAAGCTTCAGGTTCCTCATCTATAAAACTGAGGAGAGGTGCTTGACGGACTAGAACAGTGCTCCCCAACCTGTTGGGAACCACAGAGTAACTGGCTGCAAGGCCAGCTGGGAGACACCCAAGTGTCTACAAGCACCATTACTTAGATATGCATATAGTTCCAACAAAACATGCAGAGCAACAGTGAGCTTTGTGTTCACAGATTCTTCATTTATGGCCAAAAGGAAAAAGAAATTCTTTAAAATTAACCTTTGTACAAAAGTACCCAAATGACTTCTTCTTTCTGACTGATCAAGCTGTGAAGTATCTGATGTTTTTGAAGTTAACATATGTTTGTATAAGTGGATTTTTTGCATTTGATGCACTGATATCTAAATAATGAAACAAGCTGAATGTGAAACTAGATCTAAGATTGGAATTTTCATCACTCCAACCAAGTTGCCAGTCTCAGAAGTTGCAAAACAACAGCAGCAGTAGTCTCAGTAGAAAACTTCATTAAATGAACGTAACCAGTAAGCAAACACTACCTTCAGGAACAGAATTATTTTGGGGCAGCTAGGTGGCTCAGCGGATAGCGCACCAGCCCTGGAGTCAGGAAGACCTGAGTTCAAATGCCGCCTCAGACACATAACACTTACTAGCTGTGTGACTCTGGGCAAGTCACTTAACCCCACTGCCTAACCAAAAAAAAAAAATTCATTGGATCATAAGCTTCAGACCTAGAAGGGATCTTAGTGATCACCTGGTCCAGCAACCTCATTTTACAGAGAAGAAAAGTGAGGTCTTTTGATGTGATATGGTTGTGATTTGAGGATCCCAAAATTTGTATATAAGTGAGATGCAGTACTTTAAGCTAAGGGACTGAGACATGAAGTCAGGAGGCCTCAGTTAAAGTCCCAGTTGGGTCACTGACTTATGTTTGAGTCAAGTTTTTCCCTTTCTTTGGGCCTTGGTTTCCTCATCTTTTTTTAGCGAGGCAATTAAGTGACTTGCCCAGAGTCACATAGCTAGGAAATATTATGTGTCTGAGGCTGGATTTGAAAGTTTCCTCATCTTTTTAAATGGAGAGAAAATATTTGGTTGATTTTATTATAAGGGAATTGCATTAGGATAGTTACTGTTCAATTTCAAGTCAATTCAACAATTATTAAGCAAATTTATAGCCAAATCACAGCTGGGGACAGCTGTAGGGGTGTATTATGTGTGTGAATGAGGGATGGTTTTTATGATGAGTGGGACCTGAAGTGGGTCTTGAATAAATCTAATTTCAACAGTCAAAGATATAGAAAGAGTACATTCTAGGCCATAGGTTCCCAAAGTGCCCCTCTCCAGGGAGCTGGAACAATTCTAGGGCAGCAGTAGGCTCGAGTGCAATTAGGCAACGTTGAAGAAAAATACAGGGGAGGTGGAAGCATAAGGAAAGAAGAAAATTTTGAAAAACCATTCGCACATGTTTCATCTGCTGTGTAACAGAGTTAAAGTAGTAGTAATTACATTATTTTCCAAATTAATACATAAAATGCAAGTTATAACCAGTGGTCAAGTCTGCAGACTGGTCTTAACAAGCAAGTGTTGGCAGGCGAGTTTGTTGCACGTTGTCAGGAAGTCCAGCATGCAATGGAAGGCGTGTGTGCAATAACTTGTTTACAATATGACATTATAGAGTTACATGATGCAATATTACATCATCAAAATTTCAATGTAGGAAAAACCCCACAAATTGACAATAAATTATTAAATTTAAGATGCATCATTTTTAAAAATATATAAAATATTTTTTGAAATGATGCAAATTTCAAAAAAAAAAAGTTAAAGGGTTAAAGGATTTCCAGTGGGGCACTGAATATTTTTTTTTTTGAAAAGGGGGCAGTAGGTCAAATAAGTTTGGGAACCCCTGTTCTAGGCACAGGGAAATGACTAGCATTGAGTTCCATGAACTGGGAGTAGGCAGAATGAGATAACAGCTAGTATTTATATAGTGCCTACCATTTGCCAAGCACTGTGCTAAGCAGTTTACAAATACTCTCATTGGAGCCTCACAACAACCCCTTCAAGTAGGTGCTATTATTATCCCCATTTTACAGTTGAGGAAACTGAGGTAGAGGTTAAATGACTTCTCCAAGGTCACACAGCTAGAGTCTGAGGGAATATTTTAACTCAGGACTTCCTGACTCTACAACGCCATCTAGGTGATCAGGGAAGAGCTAGTGACCTAATTGGGCTAATAAAAATAATTCACACATATATATTAGGTTTCTGAAGCCCTTTAAATACGTCACATTTCATTTGATCTTCTCAACACAATCTTATCCTCATTTTACAGATGGGGAAATTGAGTCTCAGGTTAACTGCCTTGTCCAAGGTGCCTAATTAGTATCTGAAGCAGAGTTTAGGTTTTCATAATTACAAATCCTGCAGTCTATCCACCATATCACGCTGCCTCTGTCTACTCCAGGATACCTGGAAGGGAGTAGAATGAACTAAGATAGTGAACAGTATATTGAGTGACATTATGGGTTTCATTTCGTAGGCCACAGGGAGCCACAGCAGGTTATAGAGCAGGAGAATAACAGAGCAGTGTGGTGCAAGGGAGAGAATACTACATCTACAGTCAGAAGGCTTAGGGGGCCTCAAATCCCAACTCTACATCTCAACAGGACGTGTGACCTTCGTCACTTTCACCCGCTGACTCTTCTGTAAAGCGAGGGGGGCCTAGAGGGAGTCCAAGGTGCCCGATTCCGGCCCTCGCACCACGCGGGGGAGGGGGGGCTGCGGCTGCTCCCCTTCCCCGGCATCCCCACCCTCTGCACCCAGCCCAGGGGAGGCAGGGCGGGCACTCTTACGTGATGTCCTCACGGATGGAGGTGCCATGGTTGAGGTTATGGAAGCGGACGGAGATGCAGTCCCTCAGCCCGAAGGTGCATTTGTTCTCCCTCTTGTAGGCACTGAAGCAGTCCCTGAAGTCCTCAAAGGTCTGGAAGTGGCTGCCCAGCTCCATTGCTACCCTCCACCCTGGATGAGCAAACGGGCCCCTGGGGAGGGAGCGCTCCCAGAGGGGTCAGAGGTCACTGGAGGGGTCAGAGGTCACAGATGCAATGAGGGGGGCAGAAGGACCCATATATGGCATGCTATGGGTACTTGTGGCCCAGAATTTGACATCAAAGTGGTGCTCCTCAAACCTCCCCCAACCCAGGGTTCAAATAAGTCTTGTTACAGCTATGGATACCTGGCTGTTGGGAAGGAATAGGGGAGGGAGAAGAAGACCCTCCGTGCTTATTATCCAGACTCTAAGCACCGCCCCCTCGTGGGGACACCAAATCATAAGCTAGATCCTGAGACCGGCTTCTCCCTGAGCCAGTTGCAAAAAGAAGCATGGGGCAACATGACTGGAGATGGACGGGAGAGACGACCAGTGAAAATCTGGCTCCCGCCTCCAAGAGGACCTGCCGGGACTTCCGGATTCGAAGGCCCGCCCCCTTCTCTCCCGGAAACAAGGGGTGATGGGCAGTTCTGTGGGCGAGTGAAGGCTCTTCGTCACCGCCCCGCCCTGGAGCCGACTTTGGAGCCGCTGCGGCCGGGCTGCGTTGTCTCCCTCTTGCGGCGCCGGAGCTAGCGCGATGTCGCCCCCGCTGGATTCGGGGAGCGCCGAGGACCCCTCAGGGGACCTCCGCAGCGTCTTGGTCACCAGCGTGCTCAACCTGGAGCCGTTGGATGAGGATCTGTACAGGTAGTGGCGCCCGCGGCGGACCCCCGAGATCGCGACTTGTCCCCCCTATGTCATGACAGGAGCCCCTCCCACCTGCTAGGGCCAGGGGCTGCGGTGGGGCGGGATAGCCCTGTCCTTGACCCACCTAAGCCCCCCTCCCCTCCCCCAAGCCTGTCGCCCTCAGTCTTCCGTTCTCTTCGTTTTTCTTCTCATTCTCTTCCCACTCCATCGCCATAGGGAGTTACGATTGTGTGCTGATCTAACAGCACGTGCTTAGCGGTGGCATGGGGAGCCCTAGACGCAGTGACCTCGGAATTACAATGGCCGAGCCCTTCCCCATTCACCTTTGGAGCCAGAGCAAGGCAATTTGACCTTTTCCAGCAATGCTGCTGTAGTGGCGTGCATTCTTGTCAGTCAAACAACTATTAAGCGTCCACTGTGTGCACGGCCCCCTGCTAGGTACTGGGGCCACCGAGACACAATGAAATAGACCCTGCCCCAAAAGAGCTCAGCCTGGGACTCTCTCCTCTACCTAGTTTGAGAGAGGCCAGGTTCTCCTCCCTCTCTAAAGCTCCTTCCACGATGCCATGCTGCCCTGCTTTAATAGAGTGAGGCCTGTAGGTTACATAGCAAGACAATTTTGTTTAATCTTAAAGACCCAGAGGCCTCCATCCTTAAATGGTGGCTGTAGAGTGGATTCCCTCTGAGAGGCCAAAAGACCAGGGGACCAAGGATTTAGACTTGAATTCAGAGTAAGTTTCCTTGAAGGCAGAGGGTCCTGTTCCAAGGCAGTGCTAGGCATAAGTAATAACTATCTATTAGATTCTTTATTTGGCTCCTTCCCTGGGACTGGATGCTCTTTTCCATCTGAGGACAATGTTCATTAATTGTAGACAATATGTGACCTAGGAACTTCTCAAACTTTAGTCAGTGTAGTGAAAAAAAGAACCAAACTGAGATCGTGAGTTCTAGCACAAGCTTCTGACTCTCTTGTGTGAGCTAGGACCTTCCTGTCTGGACTTTAGTTTCCCCTCCTGTAAAATGAGATTAGACTAGATGAGTCTTAAGGCAGTTATGTTTATAGGCCCTTCCCTCTGTTTTTCTCAATTCACAGGGGGAGGCATTACTGGGTGCCTACAACCCAGAGGCTCTTTGGAGGTCAGATTGTGGGCCAGGCCTTGGTGGCTGCAGCCAAATCTGTGAGTGAAGATGTCCATGTTCATTCCTTGCACTGCTACTTCGTGAGAGCAGGTAACCTTCCCCTTCCACCACCTCCTTCCACCTACTTCCTCATTACGGAGTTCATGCATTCTTGCTTTCATATTCAAGGGAGCCTATTGGGAGTGGAGTTGGGTGTTTACAAGGGAACTTTGATTTCTCCATCCTTTCTGTTAACTACAGAATTAATGATCACTAATCATAATCTGCCGAACTTTGTTACTTAAGATTTCCTCCCGCATAGTCCTTCTACCTATTTTTGTGAGGCATTGAGGTATAAAAGGAAGAGTGCTGGCTTGGATCAGGGGACTTGGGTTTTAGTCTACACACTGCTTCTGCCTGTGTGATGTTGGACAAGTCACTTCTCCTTTCTAGGCTTCTGTTCTCTCATCTGGAAAATGGGGGTTAGGGGAGGAGAAGCAGGGTCAATCATAACTGGGTACATGTGTACCTCCTTATGGTTTACAAAGTTCACATATAGTTTCTAATTTGATCCTCACAACAACTCTATAAGGTAAGTAATGTAAGCATTATTTTTCTGTTTTACAGATGAGGAATCTAAGGGGGAAAATCACTTAGCCAAGGTCACATAGCTAGTAAGTATCAGGGCCAGCACTAGAACCTAGGTCTCCTGATTCCAAATCTAGTGCTCTTTCCATTACGTGAGATGGTTTCCAAGGTCCCTGTCAGCACTCACGTTGTGCCCTGAGGCCCCTGGCAGCAGGGACATTCTGGGATTCTCTCTGGTCTCTACTGGAGAGACTGCACCCTGGCTTACCTAGCTGCCCCCTTGTGCCCTGCAGGGGACCCAAAGGTGCCGGTGTTGTACCAGGTGGAACGGACACGCACAGGAGCCAGTTTCTCTGTACGCTCAGTGAAAGCCGTTCAGCATGGCAAGGCCATTTTCATCTGCCAGGCTTCATTCCAGAAGACCCAGCCCAGCCCTATACAGCACCAGTTCTCAATGCCGTCCATCCCCCCACCAGAGGAGCTTCTTAGCTATGAGGAGCTCATTGACAAATGCTTACGGTGAGGGGGTATTGTGGTCTGGAGGAGAGAGGGCTAGCCTAGGAGGCAGGAGATTTAACATCAGTGCTCATCTCTTGGGACCTTAGACAATGTCTAAATAAATGGAAATAACCTGTGGCCTACCTTATAGGACAGTGGTAAGATTATAGATGTGGAAATTTGTTTTGGAAAGGTATAAAAATGCTATACATGTACTCTTAGTGAGACTTTGGGAAGTGGGGCTTCCTGATGTCTGAGGCTCAGGGAGAAGGTTTGGGGTAAGCCTCACCCCAGAATCTCAGGAGGGACTTGGAGGTCACCTAATCCAACCCTTACCTGAACAACAATTCCCTCTATTGTCTCATCCAGTGTGTCCGAAGCCTTTTAGTGACAGTACCTCATGCCCTTTTTTCCCCCAAGTGGACTGCCTTGAGAGAGGCTAAGTGAAGAAGGAAAAGCTGCATTTTCAGAGGGTTCTCCCTTACCTAGAGGATTGTCAAATGCAGTACAAAATGCCAGGTATGTCTGGCTGCTTTAATTCAAGTAGAACCAATTCATTGGGTGGGGGCAAGAAAGGCACAAAACTGGCAGTAGTAACTATGAGGTTGTCTCTCTGTTTTACAAAGCCAGGTAGGGAGGAAACTACAAAATTAACCACAGAATCTGAGTTGAGTGGGATCTCGGAAGTCACTTTGAATTTATACCTGAAAAGTTCCATTAACTTCAAGCTTCTCCATTGACCTCCTGGGATGAGTAACTAAATACTTCGTGTTCTAGTGTAGTGTTGGGATAGCTCTGGTTTAGAATTTTTTTCCCTTATGTTTAACCAAAAACATGTCTCTTTGAAGCTTTTACCCATGTTTCCTAGTTATGATCTTTGTGACAAAGCAGAAGCAATCCCATCCCTCCTGCTCGACTTTGATTTAGGATAGATATGAAAGGATAGGGAACATTTCAGGAGCTCTTGAGCCTGGGACGTGGAGGGATGATGCCCTGACTCTGGGCAAATCACATCTTTCTGGGGCTCAGTTTCTCTTCTGTAAAATTAAGGACTTGGCCTGGATGACCTTTTAAGGTTCCATCTAACTCTATAGACTGGACATGGAGTAAAGTGACTCTTTCATTTTCACTCTTTCCAGGGACCCTGAGCTACAGAAAAAGTATCCAATAGGATTGAACCGAATTGCTGCCCAAGAAGTGCCCATTGAAATCAAGCTGGTGGATCTACCCAGACCGGGCCAACAGAAGGCCAAACAGATGTTCTGGGTTCGGGCTCGGGGCTACATTGGTAAGAAATGCTGTTTCTTGCCATATTCCTGTCCCTCTCCCAAGGAGAGTTAGGAAGAGTAGCTGAGGTCAGAAATTCTACTGTGGATATTCATGGAGCAATTATAAGATCATAGAATTTAGAGCTGGGAGGAACCCTTGTTGTTAATGAGGGAAATGAGGCCCAGAAAGGGCAAGAAACCTGCCACAGGTCACATCGGTAATAAGAGCCTATTTGGGGGGCAGCTAGGTGGTGCAGTGGATAGAGCACCGGCCCTGAAGTCAGGAGGACCTTTGGTCCTTGAGGACCAAACACTTGGCACGTGTGACTAGCTGTGTGACCTTGGGCACGTCACTTAACTCCAATTGCCTCACCAAAAAAAAAAAATAAAAAATAAAAATAAAGAAGAGCCTATTTCAAACCCAGGTCTTCTGACTCTTTCCATTGAACCATGCAGTGGCTCGGCACCTGCCTTTACTCTTCTCTCCTACATCCCTCTATGAACCTGAGGTTCAGAGGCCCAGGCTTCCTTGGGCTTACCAGCAAAGGGTACCATTTCAGGGGAAGGAGACATGAAGATGCATTGCTGTGTGGCCGCCTACATATCCGACTATGCTTTTCTGGGCACTGCCATACTGCCCCACCGGCACTACCACCGGGTCCGATTCATGGTCTCCCTTGACCACTCCATGTGGTTCCACGCCCCGTTCCGAGCTGACCACTGGATGCTGTATGAGTGTGAAAGCCCCTGGGCTGGTGAGTTCTGAGGAAGGGGGAGGGTGTTTCCACAAACAACCACCACAGACCATTTGGCAAGGTGAATGCCTTTGGGCATTCATTTGGGTGGCTATGATCAAGTTGGGAGATTTAGAATTTTTAGAATTCCAGCAATGTCATCTCACTTTATCTAGCACTATCCATTGTCTCATTTGATGATATTGTATGTGACCTCCACAGCAATCCTGAGGGGATGTGGCACTGATTATCTCCAGATGAAAAAACTGGGAAGTCACAGGATCCAGAGCTGGAAACTGTCTTTGAGATCCATCTAGTTCTCAGCCCTTCTCATTTTAAACTTCAGGAAACCAAGGATCCTGGAGAAGTGACTTATCCAAGATTATGCCAATAGTTAATAAACAAATAGCAGAACTACTAACTTGGGCCCTCTGACTCTCAGGAACAGGGCTTTCCCACTGCATCAAATCTGAGTCTCATAAAACTGCTTACACGAGAGGTGGTATGGGTTGGAAATAGTTTTAGCTCCCAAGACATTGAGAGACATTGCTGTATTTCAGGTCTGTAGTGGGTTATTGAGAAAGCTGGCACTGTCATGTGGTGGAAAGAGCCCTGAACTAGAAGAACTGACCTGTGGCCCCATCTCTGCTATTTATGAGACCTTGAGCGAATATAAGTTATTGAGGCAATATGGTAAAGAGGAAATAACACTGGATTTTTGGAGCCAGGAAAGACCCAAGTTCAAAACCTGTCTCTCACTTTACACTTCAAAACTTGTGTGACCTAGGACAAGTCACTCAGTTTCCTCATCTGAAAAGATGGACAACAATACCTGTACATAGATAAGCCTTTATATCATACAGGACTGTTGAGAGGATCGAAAAAGGTTGACATAAATGTAAGCTATTCTTATTGTTAAGGAAAAGTTAGGCTATTTGTTGCTAGCTCTAGCCTCAGAAACCACAGGATCATGATGTACTCTTCCCCCAGTCTTTTCCTGGGTGGTCTTTTGGCATTATTGATGTGAAGAACAGTGAGGTTTAGGAAGGGTCTCAGTACAGGCCTGTTGCTCACTCTCCTTGCCCACCCACAGGTGGCTCTCGAGGGCTGGTTCACGGGCGTCTGTGGCGACGAGATGGGGTCCTGGCTGTGACGTGTGCACAGGAGGGTGTGATCCGGGTCAAGCAGCAGGAGCTGGAGAGTAAGCTATAGGACGAAGCTACCCCTAGACCCATTGCATCCATTCCTGTGTTCTGCTCTATCAGGAACTGTGGGTGAGGGCTGTACCCCTCTAGCACTTTGCACATAATAAAAACAGGTACCACTTGGAGGATTCCGCCTTTTTATTCCCCTGGTCTCGAGCAGTCGCTCCACTACTCTTGGCCTTTTGAGGAGACTGACACTCCAAGCTGGATGGGAAAGGGATAATGGAGGGGGCAGAGTCTGGGGAGGAGTCCATTGCTGCTCCTTGGTAGAGAAACATGCCAGACTCCTCCGTTCCCATCACTGCCCCCTGCAGGTAAGGCTGACCACAGAGACGCAGGGCTAGTTGGGGGCACAGCAAAATGGTAACCCACTGAAAAGACATGAGGGTCTTAATCCCAAGGCAAAGAACCTACGTCGACATTGGAGACCTGCTGCTTACTAACCTGTGTAACCTTAGGCAAGTTGTATGAGAAGGAAACAGATCCAGAGGGTTAGACTAGGTCTTTTCTGAAACTATGATTTTTCTAGTTCTTACCACCCTCTATTGTCAGTCCTGTCCCCACAGCTTCTTACCCACCATCCCTGTCAGGATGGGAAGAAGCCCTTTCAGTCCAGAGCCTCCCTGATAAGCAGTTCCTTGAGGCTGGGGGGTGGAGTGGAGGTGAGGCCAGCTTCTTGCAGGGCCTGGAGCTGGGCCTCTGACTGGCGCTTGTCAATGCCAAGCCTCCAGGAGAGGCGAACATGAGCCTCAAGAAAAGGTCCCAGCAGGGGATGGGAATCACTAGCTCCCAACAGCTGCAGCGCCTGCTCACAACTCAGCCGTGCTTCACTGGGTTGCTCCAGCTCTTGGTGGCACACGGCCAGGCCTACCAGAGTCAACAGTGTCCGATGGGCACCTACTGGAGTGCCTAGTTGGGTCTGCAGGCGCCAGGCGTTAGTCCAGAGCCCTAGGGCCTCCCGGTAGAGGCCAGTGCAGGTAAGCCTTTGTGCCCGTCGAAGCTCGGGTAGGATGAAAAAGTCCTGGAGGCCAGGTGCCTCACGAAGCTCAGGAACAGCCTGCAGGTGCCCCAGGAATTGTTCAAAGGCTCGGCTGCGGCGGGCAATGGTCTCAGCAGTAAAATTCCTCCGTAGACGTTTTCGGGGGAAGGAAACTGCAGCCATGGGACCGCGGAATTGCTGCCGAAGTTGCCGGTGTAGTCGTTCAAAGTCTGAGTAGCGCCGGGAAATCTGGGCTGGCACGTGTTCCTGTGGCCCGGGGCCTATCAGGGCGATGGTGTAGAGCTGTTGAGGCAAAAGGGGAACAAGTGGGCTTTGGGAATTGTCTTTTACCCAACCAGATTCCCTTTGCCCACCTCCCTCACTTTCAGCTTCATCATCCCCTTTCCCACCCCATAGAGTTAAAAGGACCTGGAAAGACGAGAACCTTGGGCCCAGTACCAAGGGGACCTGGAGACCCACCTTACCTGAGGCTTCTCTGAATTGCCCAGGGTCATAGTGCAGCACAGAGAGAAAGAGACAGAGATGAGATTCATAGCTGGCAGCTCAGGGCCCTCACCCCCTAGGAAGCCTGATTTCTTAGCACTGTAGAATACTAGGTCTCGTGGAGCTAGAAGGAACTCTAAACACCATCTAATCCAACAGTTCTTAACCCTAGAGTCCATACCTCCAGGGAGGCAGTGAATACATTCTAAGAAGGGGTCCACAGACCCCACCATACTGCCAAAGGGGGAGTTCGGGGTGGGGGTGGGGTGCTGTTACACCAAAGCATTAGAATTCCTGGTCTTGTCCAGGTCCTTCACAGATGGGAAAGCTGGAACCCCGGGGAGAGGAAATAACTCACCCCAGGTCACACTGCTAATAAGTGTCAGAACTCTGAGACTCCAGCCCTACTCTTTTGACTCTGAAGCCTCCAGCCTTCTGGCCTTTTCATTTTTAATAGTTTACATAAAAAGGTAAAAAGCAAAACTCAGGTTCTCCTATGCCATGATTTGTCTTCTACCCATGTAAGCTGCCCAGACACCTAGTCAGCTGGTAGCATGGTAGATCAGAGTGCTGGGCCTGGAGTCAAGAAAACCTGAGTTCAAATTCAGCCCCTGACACTTACTGGCAGTGTCTTGCTGGGAAAGTCACTTAACTTCTTGCCTTGGTTTCCTCAACTGCAAAGTGGGGTAATAGTACCTCTCTCCCAGGGATGTTGAGAGGACTAAATTAGAATATTTGTAAAGGCTTAGCATAGTGCCAGGCACAAAGCAGGTGCTTAAATGTTTATTACAGTCTTCTTCCCTTCCTCAACCTGATAATTAGAGCAGCCAATAGTAGACGTGGAGTAGCACAATTCGGGTCATAGTCAAATGGCTCCAAGGTATAAGACCCATTTTTATGCTTTATGCCTTATAAATCACTTATGTACAAGGGCTCAAATCTAGGGTCTGATATTTACTAGGTGGGTGACCAACTCATAATATAAAGCAGGGGTGAGGAACCTTCATATATAAAAAGCAAGATTCCCTCATAGAGATGTCCAAAAATGGGAATAGGCTGCTTCAGGAGATATTAAAGTGCCTGTCTCTTGGAGGTCAGTAAAGTGTGGGGCATTATAGATCAAGTGAATGACTACTTTGGGGGGATATTGTAGAGGTTTCTTGTCCAGGTAGTTTGGATTTAGATGGCCTGAGGGCCCCTCCAGCTCCAAGTCTTTCATTCTAGTGAGGGAGCTAGGTGGCACAGTAGATAGAGCAGGGGGCTTGAGTCCTGAGGACCTGAGTTCAAATTCTACCTAACATTCATTAGCTGTAAGATTTCTGACAATCATTTAGCCTCATTTATGGAGATAATACCTAACTTACAGGGTTATTTAGAGTCAAATGAGCCAATACAAAGCCAGTACATAAATGCTATTTTTCCTGTTTGATAGAAAAAGCAACTATAATAAGAAATTAGAGTTTTAAGGTTTAGAAAGTTTACTTCACAATAGCCCTATGAAGTATGTACTTCATGTGCCTAGTATTAACGCCATTTTATAGATGGGGGAACCTAGAAGTTATGACTTGGCCAAGGTCACATGGCTAGTCCTGGCATTCAAACCTAGGTCTTCTGATTCTCAGGTCAGTTCTGTGGCCCTCCCTGCTTCAGAGAAAACTCCACCATGGCATCTTTTTTTTCTCTTTCAGTTCCTCAGCTCTCCCTTGATTCATCCACTTCTCCACTCTCTCAGACCCCTTCCAAACTGGCCTGAGCCCAGATGCCTGCTTCCTATCTACATAGTGCTGCTGGAAGGTCTCTAGGTGGGAGTTCTCCAGGTTATCAACAGAAAAGAAGGGAGGGAACCTAGAGATGTGGGAGGAGGTCCCCACAGCCTCATTCCTGCCAGAGGGTGTGTGGTGTGTGTGTGTTAGAGACAGAGAGAGGGAGAGACTAGCTTGGCTGCAGTGGGACTTTGTGGGACAGGCAAGTTCCAAGACTAGCTGTAAGCAAATTATAGAATTATCTTCCTTCATAAGCCAGTTTCCCAGTTCCACGTTGTTTCACTGTCACTCATATCTCCTCTATTTCAGCCCCTCCTACTTCCTACAGAGCAGCTTCCAGTGGCTCCTCAAGGGGCTAGTCCTTCCACCAGCTGCTGCTCTCACGCTTCTTCCTTAGTTACTTCAATTAAATGTAAAAGCATTTGTTAAACTGTGGACTGTATGTCCATGTCCTTGAGACACTGTTTCTTTTCACCTTTAGTCTGAATCCTTTTCCTTCCTCTATAGTGTCACTCTGGTACAGGCCACTTTTCCCAGGTATGAGCAAGGTTCCTCGGCAGGAGTGTGGAGAGGTTCTGGTTTTCTAGTCTCCTGAATGTCATATCTCAATTGGAAGGGGTGAGGGTAGGGGTGGGAAGGCTGATCTTGGTCTTCCAGATTTCTTTACGCATAGCCAGCCACCTAGCTCTCCAGAGCTTTGAGGACCCAGGCTGGAGGGAGCAGGACCCAGCCAGTGGAGGACTAGCCTCACTCACCACGTACTTGGAGGGGGGCTCATTGATGACGTTGGCGCTGGTCACTTCAAAGAGCAGCCGCTGGGGTACCAGGTTACTTTTTGACTTTTTCCAGAAGTCTTGTAGTTGCCGAGTCAAGAGGTTACTGCCTCGGGAACCTTCTGTTGGAGCACTCCGATCTGTTTAGGGATAAGCCCAGTCAGAACTTTGATCTGGCTGTGTGTTCTAAGGCAAATCACTCACCCCTTGTGAGCCTGTTTCCTTCTCAGTAAAATGAGGTAGCTAGCCTGAACGATGGCCAAGGACCCTTCCAGCTCTAAATCCTAGAACGGACTGATTAGTACCCCAGGTCCCCTAGGCACAGTTCTGAAAAGCAAAAGATAGAAATTACCCAAACTAAGATCTCTTCCTAAAACCTATAATGTAAAAAGACGTGTGTTGAGGGTGGGCCCAGGATGGGAGCAGACCAAATGCAGAACTGGTCCTTTAAGGATGATGTATATTATTTGAAATGCTTGATAATTTAATGGAATGATTTTAAATGCCCACCGAGTAGGGGATTAGAGTCAGATTAGAGTCAGGTTTAAGGGGCTAAAGACCCCTCCCACCTCATTTCCCAGGGCTTGCCTCCATCCTCGCCAGATCCATCCTCTCCAGGACTCTTAAGTCTTCGGCCCAGGGCAGGCCCTGATCCCAGAGGATCTCCGTTTTCCTCCTCTTCCTCCTCTTCCTCATCATCTTCCGTGCTGGTGAAACTCAAGGTGCCACTGAGACGTGTGGATAAGCCCTCGGTATCATCCTCCTCGAGCTCCGAGCTCTCCGGGAATTCCTCAGCCTCCGAGCCTGGGGCCGGCTCCCCCGGGCCCTCTCCAGTTAGGGCCAGGGCGTGCCGCAGGCGGTGCAGAAGGCGGGAGGCCATGGTGCGCTGGGAGAAAGCAATCGGGGCACACGGTTGGGTCGGGGGAGAGGGTGGAAGGGAGAGGGGACAGACCGCCCGGGAAGGAGGCCTTAGTCCGAGGATAGAGAATTGAAGAGGGCGAAGGCTTCTCAGGGGAAAGGAGTGAAGGCAATCGATTGAGAACGCGGGGAGGGAAGCACTAGCAGAGGGAAGAGAGTCGGGTCTGTTCGAATTGGGGAGGGGGACGCAGGAGTGTTTTAAAGGGGAGGCGGAGAGTGATTCTGGCTGAGGGCGGGGGTCGGGTGGGGAGGAGTGGTCCGAGGGCCCAGCCTGGCTCAGTATGAAAAATAGGGGGAGATCTCAGGCCGGCCAAAGGGGATCGCTACTTTGGGGGTGGTAGTGGCAGGAGTCATCCAGCCAAGAGGCAAGGGATGTGAGAGGGTAGGCTGAACCGGGCGCGGCCAGCGGGAAGGGAGGGGGGGTGGTCTGTTCTGTTTGGAAGCTAGGGACACCCCAGACCAGGGAGAAGGGGATGGGGAGAAGGCACGGTGTTCAGAGTCCTGGTCCAGCTCATTTGAGTTGGGGTGGAAGGCAGAACGCAGCCTAGTTAGGAGAGTAAAGGGCTCCCCACAACTGCAAGGAGACGCTTGCATAGTGGGGGAGAGAAAAGGAGGCTCCCCAGCCCCAGTGGGACCAGGGGAGGTATAGGGGCACCAGAGGCGGCCACCCGCTCCGCCCCTTCCTGGGAGCCCGAGGTTACGATGGGTTCCAGACGCCCGCCCCGGGGACGCCCCCTCACCCGAGAGTTTGGGAACCCGGGCAGAGGACTGCAGTGCCTTCAACCCGACAGTTTGTACGGCCGTCGGGGGTGGGTTGGAGGTCAAGGGTCCGAAGGCAGGAGGCCTCCTTCCCGGCCCTCCCAGCTCGGTGACCCGGTCCGGCCCGGCCTAGCCCACAGCTGCTCACCGAAGCCCCAGCGATGACACGGCCTCCCTACTCGGCTCCGCGGTTCCCTCCGGTCTCTTCCTGCCACGGCCCCGCCCCCGACTCCGCCTGCTCCGGGCTCACCGGCCTTGGGAGCCCAGGATCGAAAACCACTGGCCGCATCAGTCGCTGGATTCTGCGGCCCAGACCTGTTCGGTATAAGTGACGGGAAAACGGTTGTAATGAGGAACTTACAGATGTGGGATCTTGCAGTGCAGTGCCCAAGTCCAGAATCTCGAACCCTTGGAATTGGGATTCATCTACTTAGACTGAATACCCCTACCCCATTGGGATGGCGCTCACCCAGGAGTCCTCTACAGAAACAACAGCGAAGTGCCCCACACCTCCCCCTCTCTCCCAGGATGGATCAATCAATAAACACTCATTAAGCACCGACTTTTTTTGCTAGGCACTGGTGATCCAAAGACAAAATGAATCAGTCTCTGGTCTCATGGAGCTTGCATTCTTCTGAGGAGACATGAACACGTGTTAGAACAAAATCAATACAAAGTGTGGACAAAAGGAATTGAGGGAGGAGGGACAAGGATCGAGAAAAACCTCACATTTCTAGCTGGGTTTTGAAGGAAACTAGGGATTCTGTGAGGCAGAGATTACAAAAGTATCCCAGGCATGGGGTACAACCTGTGTAAAAAGGCACCGAGGAGATGGGATGTCTTATGTGAACAAGGCCAGTTTCACTGGAAGCAGTTCCAAAAGGTTTCTGAAGCCGTTTCTAACAAAGTAAAAATCCAATAATCCCTCACATGGACGTTAAGTAGTTTGTTTTTTAACTTTTTCAAAGCACTTTCTTGGCTATCATCTCAATAGCCCTAGTGAGCAAGCCTAATCCCCACAAGGGTGGAAACTTCAGACGGCACAGTGGGTGTCTGCAAAATTTAAAAGGCAGAAGTCTTGGGTTCCAGCTCTGCTCTGCCACTTAGCTTGTTGACTTTGGTCAAGTCATTATCTAAGTGTCTGATCTTTATTTTCTTTCCTTATAAAATTGAGGGATTGTATTGGGTGGCTTCTCAGGTCCTTTTCTTCCAGCTGTGGTGCTGTTTTCTAAGCCCATTTTCAGCTCTGACATTCTATAAGCCCCTGAGAAATGAATGAAAAGGCATTTTGTTAAGTATTTAATATATGCCAAGCACTTTACTAGGCACAAATACAAAACACAAAAGCAAAGACAGTCCTAGTCTTCAATGAGCTTTTATTCTAATGGAGAGATAGCAAACTTTGGGAGAAGTTTCGATCAGGGAGGGTCAGTTTGAGCCATGAGTAGGGCCATAGGAAAATTAAATGATCCACTCCTTCCAGGAACAAAGAGTTGAGTCCAGAATTGGAGAGGGAAGGAGGAATGCAGCTGGCAAGACAGTTAAGAAGCTGACTACAAGTGGAGAGAGAAGACTACCTGCAAAAGTGGGTCAGGTGAGGCTTCACCAATGGAGACAGCTGGGGCCTCTGGGCAGAAGTTCTAGGAAAAAAAAAAAACCTTCAGGGCATGGTTTCTGACCCCTGTGGGAGTTAAGAGTGATTTGTGAAATGACTTGCCAAAAGAATGCTTCTAGTCCTTGACTGCCAGAACACCAGCTTCCCTTTAAGCTTCTGACCTTCTCTCTGACAGCCTCAGTGTAGGGAGGGTCCTATCTGATGGGGTAAGGATGTCAGTCTGTACCCCCATCAAAAAGGGGGCTCCTCCTCTAGCTCCAGCTCCATCCCCATCATCTCCCTATTTTATCGAACATCCGCAGCTAGGAGAGCATGGGAGAACTCTCTGAAGACCTGTGAGACCTCAGTAGCCCTATTCTCTCGGCACCTTTAATTTAGAGGAATTGGCGTTTGATAAGGAGTAAAGGCAAGTCTTTGGTCCTCAGTACCCCACCCCCTCTGGACCCTCAGAAGCACATTATACTGCTAAGACTGGAAGGAACAGTCAAATGCACAAATTGGATAAGAAGCTCCTGGAAGCCAGTTATGGCAAGTCAGTGAATTGTGGTCTAGTGGAAAAAACAATAGGCTGATAGCCAGGAGATTTTTGCTTAAGACTCAGCTCAGTTCCTAATTCATTGTGACCGTCGGTATGTAGCTTTATCTCTGGATCTGTTTTTCTGCCAGTCAGTTGGGGACAAAAACACAAGGTTACAATCTCAGAATCACAGAGCTGGAAAGGAACTGAGAAATCAGATCATTCAGCCCATTCATTTTCCACAGGCCCAAACTGAAGCCTAGAAAAGGGACATGACTTGTCAAAGTCATAGCAAGTTAGTGGCAAAGCTCAGGCTAGAACTCAGCAGACCTAACTTCTAAACTAGAGCTTTTTCCTCAGAACCACACTAGGTCAGAATGAGCTGAACAAGTTTTGATAATCAAACAATCAATCAGCGAACATTTATAGTCTCTTCTATGTTCCAGGCACTAATTAAGCTTAAATCCAGCTTTAGACACTTCCCTATAGGGCATGGTTTCTGACCCCCTTGGGAGTTGAGAGTGACTTGCAAGTAAATTGGATTTAAGTGAGGGAGGGCTATGCAAAGTCACCAGCCTAATTTTCTCCTCTGGAGTCATCTGGGTGATACAGCCAGTAAGTATCTGAGGTAGAATTTGAACTCATGTCTTCCTGACTCCTAGTGCAATACTCTACTCTGGGTTTTTGTGACTCTTCTCTTTGGTTGGTTCACCTCCTATGTGTCTCCTTTTCTGGGTCATCATTGATATCACACCATTGTTGGAAGTAGATTTTGGGGAGAACATAGCTGACTCCATTTTGTCCTGTGTTTGCTATTACTGTTTTCCCCTTCTGCACAGTGTCTCTTTGACAAGTACTGAATGTCTCCTTCCTTACCTCTCTTCCCTCATTCTCTTTATTCATTTCTTTTATTTTTATTTAAGTGACATGCCCAAGATCAGTGTCTGAGGCTGGATTTGAATTCAGGTCCTCTTCACTCCTGGCTGTGCTCTATCTAATGCACCACCTAGTTGCCCAGCCCCCCTCATTCACTTTATGGTTACAGAAGAAAACTCATAGGATTTTTAATAGTCCCAGGAGCTCAACTTAATCCTATATAATAAAGTATAGTAAGAACTTAAACAAATGCTAATTAACTAACTGACCAATAAAGAAAATAAAGTTCTTGGTTATTGCTCAGTGGTGTCAGACTCTAGGTGACCCCAAGGACAAAGTCCATGGAGTTTTCTTGGCAAAGATACAGGACTGGTTTGCCATTTCCTTCTCTAGTTATGGTTTGGGGTTGCTGGGAACCCCAAAATATTAGGGTCTGCTTGGAAAGAACTCAAGCACTCAAACCATCTTCCACAGTGGCAAGATTTATTGTAATGTCAATAGAACAGGTGAGATTCCTTGTGAACCTGAAAATTAATGGAGCTAAGACTGATACTTATATAAAAAAAGGGACAGCGAAAAGATCTAGATGGGATTAAGGAGTGGTAAGCAGTCTGGGGTGGGTCAAGAGACTGTGAAAGGACTATCAATTATCTAGGTGGACTGGGCTAGGCCGGGTGCCTGGGGTGAGACACCAGTGATCTGGGCTGCTGAAATGCATGGGAAAATTCAGGAACTGGTTTGTTTTCAAAGACATGGTCTTTTCCTTTTAGGGATCCAAGTCCCATCATCCCATCATTTAGTGTGTCCCCACTTTACAGATGAGCACCTGAGGCAAATAGAGATTAGGTGAATTGCTCAGGATCACACAGTTAGCACATGTCAGAGGTCGGATTTGAGCTTAGATCTTCCCAAGTCCAAGCCCAGTGCCCTATCCACTGTACCATCCAAAGTTTTCTTTGGTCTAATGTTAATGATGATGCTATAAGAACCCATTCTTTCCTTTGTAACAATTGAAGCATCCTAGTAAGTATCTTTTCCTGCCAAAACTGTTTTGTAAGAACGTTTTCTCTTCAATTACTCAAGTCCTGTAGCTCAAGAGTAAAGATCTCTCATTTGCAGAGTTGAGATGCATATGTCCATCACCCACTGGTGATATGTGCATCACACTCTTAAATGGACAAATTGCCGTTTACCTGATTGTGTGCTATGCTGGCTCTTTTGTGCACTGACTAGCAATGTTGAGGTTTAGAGGTACTGGGACCCCAAAATCACAACACACGGTTCCTGCCCAAATGAATTGGACCCAAGCCTTCTTTCAGCCAAAGACAAGGTTTATTAAAGACCCACATATTGGCCAGACTCTTAAGGAATCTTAAGCATGTGTTGCTAATGCAAGTGGGCCAGATTTTAATCTGAGCACCTTAATGGAGACAAGATGGATCTTGTGGGGATCTAGGGGTGGCCAAGTAGTTTGGGGTGACTGGAGGAGGGGCTGGGAGAAAGGAGTCTAGGGAAGATCTTGATGGGAAGATTAGGAGGTAGAATGGGACCTAGACGGGATCAAGGGTGTGAAGTGGCTGGGGGTCATCAGGAGGTAACAGACAACAGAGGGCTCCGTTAGATTAAGAGTAATGGAGAATTGGAAAATTGGGTGTAGGTGATAATGAAAGGCCAGTTGATAAGATTATAGCCTCAGGGGAATGCTAGAAACTTCCTTGACCAAGTGGGAGAGTTCAAGGACAGTCCAAGGTGAGGTTTTCTAGGGCCCATAGACAAATGGGCTTGGGCATATACCCCATCATTCCCCCCTCAAACAAATGGGACCCAAATTCTTTTGGGGTGAGAGGCAAAGGTCTCGGCTTCTGAAACTGCTTCCTGCTAGCAAGGGGCATAGAGTTGTCCCTGCCTCGAGGGGGTCCCAAAGAGGAAGTTGACTGGAATCAAGCATAGGCTGCATCTAGGGGACAATGGGGGGAGGGGACGTTGGCTGGTATCCACCGTTTGCTACCGACTGTAGGTGAATGGCCTATAGTCTGGAAGACACAGATCTGATAGAAAAGACTGGAGGGCCCAGATATAGGGAAGTAAAAGTTTAGGTGTCTCATTAAAATATTTACATTTGACCTGCAGGATTATCTGATCTTGTTACTTTTTCAGAAGTTAAGTAAAACTTTTGCAGGTAGAAGTTTTCCACCCTGGGTTTAATAGTTACATAAATAGATTTGCCAGAGACTGACTTTCACTTCAAATATCATTGAAATTCTCCTCAAACCAAACTGAAGTTGTTTCTGATTTAATTTCAGTTATTTGGGGATATTGAATGACTACACATTCAGGTCAAAACAGCAAGATCTCACACACTTGCACTGATCTTTTACTGACCACTTGCTCTGATTATAGAAATGTGCTATAAAAGTATAAGGCAGAGACTAGATTTAGGGCCCAAATATAATAGGAGAAAACATCCTTAGCTCTGTTTGGATTCAGACAATTCAATTTTCCACTCATGCAGTATCAAATCCGCCTCATAGACTCAGGACTAGCCAGGTAGGTAACATCCCTTTTCAAAGAAACATAATGGGGAAACTGAGCCAGGAGGATCCCATCTTAGACTGAGGCTAAAATTGTCCTTTCATCCTTTCCCAATGCAGATTTCCCAGCAGAACCACATTCTGAGTAGCCTGTAGCACCTTTCTTAGAGATGGTGGATTACTGATTATAGATGGATTATTATGATCCATCAGACTACTTGATAAAATTATTTACAGTCACCTGAACTTAAAAACAGCAAGTTTCACTAATCACAGCTTAGGAAAAGCTTCCAATTTTTACATCTCAAATTTAAATTTGTGCTGGTGTAAAAAACTAGTTGTTAGAGATTTCTATATACTTGCAAATTCTCAGCAAACCATAACCCAAATAAGCTTTTTGGCAAGTTTACACATTAAAACAATAACCAACAATAGCCAAATCCTTCTAGCTGTAACCAAATTATGAAAAACTGCTTGACATAACTGATACAAGTTTGCCAGTCTGAAACATACCAATCAGGTAACTTCAATTTTGTTAAATGCATTACATAAGAGTGTGCCGGTCACGCCGTGTACTCTCCTCCTATAAGGAGCAGGCTGCCAGGGTCATACTACTAACCTGTCTTCGGTGCCCACCCGGATAAACACAGAGACGAGCCGATCAGGAGGTGCAAACACTCGAGCTTTATTCAGAATGCCATCACAGCAAGGCAAAGCAGGAAAGCCAGAGCAAGAGAGAGCAAGCTCCGATCCCTACTGTTCCTTAAGTACCTTCTTAGCCCCTCCTCCTCAGCCCGCCTACTAGTCATTGATTGTAGGATCAGATACCAGAAGGGGATGTCTGGGGTTAGTGCCTAGACAAAGGGAGAGTACGTGGCACAGGAAGTGAGGCCTAGATACTGGAAGGAGATGTCTGGGGTTAGAACTGCACCTAGGGAGAGGACGTGACGCAGGAGGCTAGGACCGGATACAGGAAGGAGACATATGGGGTTAACGCTGCACCTAGGGAGAGGACTAGACAAAGGGAACTTGTTCTCTGCCGTCCCACTCCCACGTGGCACAGCCCCCTGCCTCAGGAGCACATGCTCCGGTTACTTCCTAATATCTTGTTCCTACCCCATCTTGCCACAATCTGCACACGGCAGTAGCCAACATCAGACAATCCCTCACATAAGAGAATCAACATCTCATCATTAACAGTTAAAACTTTAAAAGAGCATGCTTATGGAGTATGATATTCTGGAGGGCAAAGGAGTTAGGACTACAACCTATCACCTACCCAGCAAAACTGAGTATAATCCTTCAGGGTAAAAAATTGTCATTCAATGAAATAGGGGACTTTCAAGCATTCCTATGGAAAAGACCAGAGCTGAATAGAAAAGTTGACCTTCAAATACAAGACTCAAGTGAAACATGGAAGAGGTAAACAGGAAAGAGAAATCATAAGAGACTTATTAAGGTTGAACTGTTTACATTCCTACAGGGAAAGATGATATTTGTAACTCATGAGTCCTTTGTCAGTATTAGGGTAATGGGAGGGGAAAAAATTATATGTATGTATAGATAGATAGAGGGCACAGGGTGAGTTGAAGATGAAAGGGTGATATCTGGAAAATAAAATTAAGGAGTGAGAGAGGATTATACTGGGAGAAGGAGAAAGAAGTAGAATGAGGTAAAATATCTCACATGAAACAGACAAGAAAAGTCTTTTACAATGGAGGGGAAATGGGGGAAGGTGAGAGGGAATGAGTGAACCTTATTCTCATAGGATTTGGCTTAAGGAGGGAATAACATACACAATGGTGTATGGAAACTATCTTACCCTACAGGAAAATAAGGGGGAAAGGGGACAAGAGAGCAGGGAGTTGATAGAGGGGATAATCAAAAGTAAACACTTCTGAGGAGGGACAGGGTCAAAAGAGAGAATAGAATAAATGAGGGGTAGGATAGGATGAAGGGAAATATACTTTTTTCACAACAGGACTACTATGGAAGTGTTTTGCATGACTACACATCTATAACCTGTACGGAGATACTTGCCTTTTCATTGAGGGTGGGTGGAGAGGGAGGAAGGGAGAAAATTTGTAACCCAAAGTTTTAAAAACACATGTTAAAAATAAAAAAATTTAAAATTTAAAAAAAAAAGAGCATGCTTACCCAAGTTTGGAGGCTAGCTTCTTTACCTTGACCCATCCCCCTTCCCTCTCTCCCCATAGCCGATGGGGGTTGAGGTGGAGGTAGGGAGATGAGAAGGATGTGCTGAACCTGGGTGATGCTTACAGGCAAAGGCTGCCCCAGGGCCCAAGGCCATTGCCAATGGGGCCCATGCCATAGCTGCTGCCACTTCCCCCATCCTTCCTTTTGCCAGGTGGGGAAGGGCAAATTCGAAGTTGTGGGGGGAAGGGTGAAACTCTCTTCTGTAAGAGGGGTTAACAAAGATATCCTCTTGACTCAAGGGAAGGGAGTGGAAGAATGGAGTGACTAGGGTTTTAAGGAGATGTTTCAAAACTCCTTAATGATAGATCACAAAACCTCCAGAATCTGCTAAGATGTTTTTAGCTATTCTAACTTTTCCCTGCAACCTCCATGAAGGAGGATTCAAGGGTATAGAGAGAAGGGAGTAAGTAAGCCTCAGAGAACCAAAAACATCTGCAGTTTTCCCAATTCCCTTCTGCTGAGAGAATTGGCAGAATTGGACATATGCTTCTGGATAGGGCATCCATCCTTGTCCTCTATGCTGCAAAAGGTGCACCCACCTCCACAGCCTCGAACCTGAAAGAGTGGACCGAGAGCCTGAGAGTGTCAGGCTGAGTATGAGACAGCCTCATGACCGTCTGCCAGAAAAGCACCTCCAAGACTTCCTAGGTACTTGGGAGAGTGACCCAACTGCAGTGAAAGAAAGATGGGGAAGGCTTACATACCTTCCATGCTTGAATGGTGAAGAGCTTGGAGTTAAGCAGTTTCCCTGTACAGGCCATCAAAATGTTGAGGTTTAGAGGTGATAGGACCCCAAAATCATGACACACAGGTCCTAATGAATTGAACCCAAGCCTTCTTTCAGCCAAAGACAAGGTTTATTAAAGACCTACCACATTGGCCAAATTCTTAAAGAAACTAAGCATTTGGCCAAATGTTAAGAATCTGAACACCTTAAAAGGATACTAGATGAATCTTATATACAGAAAGACTGTGGGAGGGATCTAGGAGTGGTCAAGTAGTTTGGGGTGACTGGAGGATAGGTCTAAGGAGGTTCTGGATGGGAGTGGCCAGTAAATTGGAGTGAACAGAAAGCCAGGGACCTGAGACTAAGGGGCCAAGGCAGAATGGAGTCTAGATAGGATTAAGGGTGGGAAGTGTCCAGGGGCAATGGGGAGGTAACAGAACAGAATTGGGAGATTGGGCGTGGCCACAATAAAGGGCCAATCAAGTGGATTACAGCCTTAGACAAATGCCAGAGATTTGGGAAAATCCAGGGATTTTCCTTTTTAGGGTCCAGATCCCAAAGACATGCATAGTCTTTTCCTTTTAGGGGTTCGGATCCCATCCCCATCAACAAGAACCCTGAATATTCTCACACCGCCTTCTACCTGTGAGTGTTCCCCAAGGTTCTAGCCTACGTCCTCTTCCCTTCTTTCTCTAGACTCTTGCTCTGGCAACTTCGCTATATCCCATGCAAACCATTCCCACATCCAATCCCATTCTCTGAGCTTCGTTCTCATGTCACTAGTTGCCTATTGGTCATTTCAAACTGGATGCCCTGTAGGTAACTTAAATTCACATGTCTAAAAGTATCTTTCCCTCTAAACCTTCCCCTCTTCCCTATTTCTGTGGAAGGAGCCACCATCTCTCAGCTACTCACCTTCATATCTACATTGTCCTAGACTCACCCTAACCCCTTATATACATTAGCCAAATCTTACCTTTTCCAAATTCATAACATCTCTCTCATCCAACCCCTTCTCTTTATTCACAGGGCTACAACTTTCCTTAAGGCCCTCTTCACCTCATTGCTTTATTTTCCTAATTGATAGTCTTTCCTCTAATTTATCTCAGAAATCCTCTTTTCCCTCTGGAATCAACTCCAGCACCAGCATTTGCATGAAGCTTTTCCTGATCCCCGAAGGGTTAGTGCCTCCCCTCCCAAATTTCCTTATTTAGCTACTTTGTATATTTGTGTTTATTCATTTTATATTTGTTGACATACCCTCAAACAACCTTGCCTCCCAGTTCCATCAGCCTCCCCAGTTCCCATGACCTACACCTTTCTTCCGACTCAGCCATTTACCGAGGCAGTGATACCCTAAAACAGGGGTGTGCTGGAAGCTACTCTTAAAAGCTAATTATTAAATTTTTCTGTGTGAGCATTTACACCTCAATAATCTCTACAGATCAAGACTTGATTTATTTTATTGGTTGTCTGGTCTTTAGAAACTGTGGAAAAAACTAATTCAGATTAAATTTAAAGCATATATACTTTTTTTTTTGAGGGAGGAAAGCTGGTTGTTAAACTTTACCAATGGGGCAGCTAGGTGGCACAGTGGATAGAGTGCCTACTCCGGAGTCAGGAAGACCTAAATTCAAATCCGGCCTCAAATGCTTACTAGCTGTATGACCCTGGGCAAGTCACTTAACCCTGATTGCCTTGAAAAAAATTTTTACCAACACACCAATTCCCTAAATCTCACTCTCACCCATAACTGGTTTACCTTTCTGCTGTCAAGAATTCTGAAATTTTCTCTGATCACAACCTTGTATATTGCCTCACTTCTTTCAAACCTGTTGCACATCTTCACGGTGACCTTGAGTCACTCTATTCTCTCTCTCCCTGTCCTCCTCATCCATCCATCACCTCTATGCTGGCCTCACTTTTCCTCCTTTGTAGTCTTGAATCTATAACTGATGAGGATGGCATCTGGACCCCAAAAAGGGAAAACCCTGGACTTTCCCACATGGCCAAATCTCTGGCATTCTCTTGAGGCTATAATCCCATCAACTGGCCATTCATTCTGTCTACACCCAATCTCCTAACTGTCTAAATTACCTTTAACCTAGCCTAGCCCTCCATTGTCTTACCTCCCTATGGCCCCAGGCCACTTCCCACCCTTAATCCTAGCTAGGCTCCATTCTCCCTTGGCCACAAGTGGTCCAGGTCCCTGGCATTCTATTACCTCACAGTCCCAGCAGACTGCTTGGCCACTCCTAGATCCCTCCCACAGTCTTTCTGTATATAAGGGCCATCTTGTCTCCATTAAGGGCTCAGATTCTTATAATCTAGCCAATAGTTCACTAATGTTCAGACTCCTTAAGAGTCTGCCCAATATGACTGATGTTCTAATAAACCTTGCCTTTGGCTGAAAGAAGGCTTGGGTAGCCTTCTTTTTCTACAAGAGAGACTTCTTTTGGGCAAGACCCATGTGTTGTGATTTTGGGGTCCCAGCACCCCTAACCTCTAAACCTCAACAAGGGCTATCATGTTTTCATCTTTGTATGCCCAGTACCTATCAATCAATCAATCATTTATTAAGTGTCTATTACACACCAGGCACTGTGCTAAGCACTGAGGTTACAAAGAGGCAAAAGCAGTCCCTGCTCTCAAGGAACTCACATCTAATGGGGGAGACAACATAAAAACAAATATAGTAAA